TACATGGACCTTTCATAAAGGTGTGGAGCTGATGAGATGGAGAACCCTGATTCTGAGTGTGAACTCAAATCTATAAATCTATCTGTAGAAGGTGATGAAGGTAATATAAAGTGACAAAACTAGCATTTATTGTTCAAGTGCTTTTTGCAAACTAAACTGATATACTGTTGATAGCTTGTACTGGCAAGCTGATATACTAATACGACAATCTGTTGTTCTCTCACATGGCTGAGCAGTCGATGACTCGGAGGAAAGTGAAGCTACAACTGAGGTAAATGTCACTATTTTGCAGGGACAGTGTTGCTCCATCCTGGTTTTAGCATTTCCCAGAGACAGCTGTGACTAGTTTGAAGAAATCAAACAAGCCATAGCATTTGAAGTGCAGTCAGACTATTATCTAGTTCTGTGGAGATAAGTCTGACCAAACAGACAACACAAGCAAACTGTGCTTTTAAAAATTAGTTTTCTTCTAGAACTAAATAGGCTGTGGTTTCTTTGAACTTTGAAATTTAACAATGTTGAGGCAGGCGCCTCTATAGCTCACCTAGTTGAGCAGGCGACCCATGAACAGGGGCTATAGTCCCTGACGCGGTCGTGGGTTCTAGGGAATGGAATGGACCCTTTGCTGCAGGTCCTCCCCCCTCTTCTCCCTTCTTTCCTGTCTCACTCTCTCAGGATCCTGACGAATAAAGGCAAAAAGGCCAGAAAAGAAAAAGAAAAACAAACCAAAAAAGCAATGTTAAGGCAGTCCTGTTAGATAGGCAAACCTTTACAGTCCAATACTGTCCCCAAATGTTTTGTATGTAGATGCAGTGTGAAGCCAAAATATGTATGCTGTACTGTCTTGTTCAAAAAAACATTCTTGATCCCAATTGGTCTAACCTGGAAAGCTTCATATGACATAGAATCCTTTGTTTTCTCAGTCTGAATATGTGAATGAACCTGGTGAAGTTCAGCACTCAGAGCAGAACAATGAAAGCGAAGAAGAACCATCTGAACACACATCTGCAACCAATGACAGAGGTAATATTACTCAGCATTTAAACTCTGTATTTGATTTGAGTTTCAAACATTGTGAAGAATTAGAACTCAGAGACTAAACTTTGACACTGATGCTTCAGCGACTTTCGTCTTATAACTTTGTTGTTTTTGTTTCAGGGATGTCTGACCTCACACTCGTGCTAATTGGTGACACAGATTCCATCGAGTTTGGATTAAAAAACATCTTAATTGACCATGACGACCAAACAAATGTGGAACACTTTTCATACAAACTCTATGACTTGTGTGGTCGGCACATATCTGTCATTAACTTGCTTGGTGTCCAAAGCAATGACAAAATCCCAGTAAATGGGAGAATTCATGCCTTTGTCTTACTGCTGCCAAATGGTCTGCATAACAGCCATTACGACTCAGGAGTGCAGTGGTTAGAAAAAGCTTTTGGCAGAGAGTCACTTGCTTATTTAATGACAGTTGTGACTCACAAAACAGGTGAAACATGTGACAGTGCATTGAATGAGCTGAAAGCTAATCACAGTTTTGATGAAAGAAGATGCGTCACATGTACAAGAAGCATGACAGATGAAACAGAGATTGTAGGTCTCCTGGAAAAAATAGACGTCATGGTCTCTGAAAATGATCCATCCTGCTACAGCGATCTGATATGTAGTGAGAATAAAGAGCATCTGGAGCACAAAGAAGAAAAGACGGAG